GGAGAATGTCCTAACTGCAGGTCCTGGTTGGTGGGGGGATCACTGGAAACGCAAGTAGGGCCTGCAGTCCCCACAGCTCCTCGTGTCAGCTAACCTTGCCCCCTTCGTGCCTGTCACCCTGTGTGTGCAGAAACTCTTCTGCCAGAGAGTGCAGGGCACCCTTGTCTGGCTGCTTGCTGTTTTGGGGCTCTAGTGCCATTGCTGTCCTTCAGCTTCTGGAGGGCTGGGATTGAGGAACAGCATTTTGCATGGATGGATTCTTTATGCCTACGGGCATTTACCATTGCAGGGTGAGGCACAGACCTGTTCTATATGTAGGTTTAGTAACTGAAGCCTCTAATTTCCCTCTGGTTGGCTTTGTTTACTCAGCAGAAGACCTTAAAGCAGCTTTCCCGCTGCTGCAGGGATCTCAGAGGCTGGTGATGCCACAGGCAGGGTGCAAGCAGGGAACGCTGAGGCTCATGCACAAAGCTGTCTCGAGTAATTTTTCCTCTTGTCCAAAAGAGACAGGGCTGTACTCCCTCCTCCTGCATGTGTGATGCACTCTAATGGCAATAGCTCAGCTGCCCCTTCACCATCTCTAACCTCCTACACAAAGGGAGCAGCTCCCAGGATGGGTGCAGCGGGTTTGGGGAAGCTTCTGTGGTTTCAGGAGGATTCTGCACAGGGGAGGTTGCTTTTCTCTTTTGTCTGTGCTGGTGACGTGTGATCTTTGCTTCACTGGCTGGTTTCTGGATACCAGGCTTTAAAATAGAGATGTAGGCAAATTGGCAAAAGGCCAGAGGAGAGCAGCACTAATTGTCAGAGCTTTAGAAAACATGACCTCTGAGGAGAGGTTGAAGAAATCAGGTGCATTTAATCTAGACAAGACAGTATTGGTGGGGGAGGGAGGGGGATGTCATGGTTTCTCAGTACATAAAAGCTGTTGTTAAGGAAGGATGATTGATTTATTCTTTCACTATCACGGAGTGGGGAGGGGGGGGAGAATGATGAGACTCAACTGCATTTTAAACTGCAGAGAAGATTTGGTTTGGATATTTAGGAAAAGCCTTCAATGCAGTGAAACGCAGGAAGATACTGTTCAGGGGAGCTGGGAAATTTCTGACACCCTGTTAGTGCCTTTGTTGGTGTAGTTTGGACTCAGGGGTAGTTTTAAGGGTGATCCCTGTCCCTTAGCAAGTGCCTTGGCTCTGCCAGCACTGCCAGGTTCACGTGGTCACACATGCAGGAACAAGCTCCCCAAAGCACTGGCTGTAGGTGATAAAATGGTGTGGCTTCAGTGGATCATAAAGTCACTTCTGTTCATCTGCCCACTGGTTTGGAGTCTTTTTGGCCGTGTCTGTATTGCAGTTGGAGACCTGATGACAAAGGAACCCAAGCTTGCTCTAATGTAACTTTTTTGGGTAGGAGTGAAGAGAGGGCAGCTTGGACCTGAGTTCAGGGCAGTTGCCTGAATAACCATCCCCCTATTACACTGAATTTATGCTTCAAAGCACTCTGCAGGTGAGATCCCAGGCTGAGATCTGGAGGAGATGTCCTGATCCAGGCTGCCCTCACCTCTGGCTGTACTGCAGGCAGACACAGGCTTGGAAACACACTTTTCCTCTGCAGTTGTGCCATCAGAACTACTGCTGTAGCAACATGACTCCAGGTTCTGGGGCTTTTATGCATTATCAAATAAAATGTGAAAGTAATAACTGGTTGCTGGGAAAATATTGCATATTAGCACAACTTGTTCTCTACCTTGGCTGTTTTTGTATTTGACAAGTATCAGTGGCAAAAAAAGGACAGGTTTTATTATAACTCCTTTGTGTGCTTACCTTCCAACTTCTCGAGTACATTATTCACAGGCATCAAACTACTTTCAGGACAAAGTGTTGGTGATTTCTCCAGTGGTGGTGAGAAATGGGGACATGTGAGGGTGCCGTTCACTGGAAAAGTGGCAGAACTTCTCACATTCCCTCACTCGTGATCCTGCCTACAAATCCTCTCCAGGCATAAGCCTTTGCTTTGAGGGCAGAAGGTCTAGCTCTGTGCACCCCTTGGCAAGGCACAGAGAAAAGCCATGGGCCTTTATTATCAGGTTTACCTCTTTTGCCTTATCTCGGATCCCCAAATGCAGAGTTCTTCCTTCTCAGCCAAACTCACAGATGACGTTATCCCATATTTTAACTACCCTACTTTCGTGTCCCTCCTGCCTGAAGCTATTAACATTGGCAGAACTGGTGTCCTTTGTTTGTTTTGTGCACTACTTAAGGCCTGAGTGTTGGGCACCAGCCGGTCTGGTTTTCCATCGGGCTGCAGGAGGAGGGCAGGACACGCTCTTCCTGATGGCTGTGCCCATGCTCTTGAATCCCTGCAAGCCAGTCTTGTCACAACAGGGCTGGAGAAGGTGAAATGGCTTCCCTGTGATCGAGCTAAGGTCTGGGAAAGGCAGGGCTTTGCCTGCCTTCATCTTTGGAGGGTTTGTATGATGGTCGCACTCAGAAGCCCGTGGGTTACTGGGCACACATCCCAGGGGTTGCAGGTGGGCACTGCAGCCTCTCACTGGTGTGATAGATGGGATGTAGAGGACCTGGCAGTGCCAAGGGGAGCGCTGCTGACTCTGCATGGGAGCTGGGTGCAGCTGAGCCCGGGCTGGAGGGGGGCAGCAGGGCTGATCTCTCCACTCCAACCTTCCTCTTGGAGCTGGGAGGTCTGGAGCTTATCCATGGCTCTGCCACTGAGTCACTGCATGACCTCAGGCACTCAGATACCATGGTGATGAACACAGCACAAATGTCTAGACAGATAGAATAGATTGGATAGACTCTGGGTTTGACAAATATTTGTATATCCCCACTGTCAGAGCTCCCCTGCTATAACCCCCCAGCCTGCAGGATTCAGTGGGGCTCTGGCACAGCAGAGAGGAAAGAACCACTTCTTGCACCGAGGGAAGGAGGGGAAGCACTGCCACAGTGACACAAGCGCTGGTGGGGACACACTGGAAGCTCAGCAGGCAGCAGGGCAGCTCTTGGAGGGAACAACACTGCGTGGCAGAAAGGGTCTGGCGTGGGGATCTGGCCTCTCCCCTCCTCTGCTGCAGCCCTGTGCATGGCCCTGATTCTCCTCTTGTAACTAATTAGTCTGCAAGATCCTCAGGGCAGCTATGACTTCCTCCTCCTGCTATGGCTTCTATCACAAGGCCCTGATTTCAGCAAAAAAAAAAAGCAAACTATCAAAGTGAGACTTCCTTAAAAGCTTTGCCGTGCCACTGTCAGCCTCTGGCACAGAGGAGGATGCAGGAGAATCCTCTCTCCCTGGTGTGACTCCTGGTTATTTTCCCACCTGGTTCCCCCGTGGAAGATGAAGGGAGAAGTACAGCCAAGATGTGGCTGGGAGTGTGTCCATGTGGGGAATCTTCAGAGGCTCCACGAGGTCTCCTGAGCCCCCCTGCCTCGGGCAGCCCTGCCAGGGAGCCGTGCTGGAGGAGAGCACTGCCTCTTTAAGGAGATTTGCATAGCAGGGCCTAATTACAGTTGTTGATTCTGATGTTTTCAGTGTTGTTCATATTCCATTAAAGGATAATGCCGCTTAATTTGCAGCGGAGGGTCTCGGTGAACAGCACAACCCAATCACAAGGCACCCCTAATGACACTGCTTCCTTCTGCTAACACATAATTAAAAAATCACTTCATTTCCAGTTGTGTGGTTCTCCCCTCTCCCCCAGTCTCCTAATTACTTTCTAAGCCATTTCATGATTATCTGTACATATTTCAGTGCTTAGATCTATTAATGAGTCCATGGAAGAGTTAATACCTTGAGTGGCACAAGTGCTTGATGTTCCCTTTCTAGTAATGCATTGCAAGGGATCTTTCCACCTTACACATGTGAGGAGAGAGGCTTTTCTTCTGGTGGTACTGGGTTTGTGCTCTGCCTTTGGGGCTGTGAGCCTGACAGGAGACGGACAGCACCCAGAAACTCCAGCTACAGGAGGCTTCTTGCTGGTTTTGGGGTAGTGGATGTGTATCTCCCTGCAGATTGTTTTATGTGGCTTAAATCCCACTGACAAGGGCTGTCCTGTTGCCTGGCTGTGGGAGCTGCTGATCAGAGGGGCTCAGGTAGAACTGGCTGTGAGTCTGGATCAAGCTGGGATGCCCTCAGTCCTGGAGGAATTGGCTGACATGGCTTGTTTGTGCCCTGACTTCCTAGCTTTGTGGGATGTAGTAACACACTCTTGCTGAACTGGGGCAGGAGAAGGCAGTGGGGCTGTCTGGGACTGCCCTGACGTGGTGTTTCTGCACCAGCTCCCCTGGCATGTAACAGTCAGGGGCACTGACTGTGCTGTGTGGGTAGCTTGGTCACTGGGGAAGGGAATATCTGAGTTTCCCAGGAAACTCGTGCACAGGTGTCTGCCACAGTGAGAGGATGTGGGGTGACACATGCCCTGGTGCCCGTGGTGAAATGGGGGATCTGCTCTCTAATCCAGGCTCTGCTCTGAGAAGCCACTGTTACAAGTCCTGTTTTTTCACTTCATGGATCCGTTTCCTGTGCTTGGTGGTATCTTGGGTGTTACAATTCCCGTGGGATTTTCAGGCAGACAACTGACAGTGATGGAGCAGTGAGCTGGAGTGGCTTTCCTGCCCACAGATTCCACGGGTTTGGTTGCTGTGCTCTTCGTATGGTCAATCAGCAACACCTTATGCAAGCCCACTAGGAGCCTGCTGATGGTCTCTGAAGGCATTATTTGGAATAACCAGAGATAATTGTGTTACTAGGGGGTAATTAACTTCCAGGAATTAAAGAATCAGGCTTAGGCTTCACCACTCCTAGGAGTGAGTCTGTAAGTCTGGGAGTTAGAGAAATCTAATCATTTGAGCACATGCAGCTTGAAGTCCATGATACTCAGGGAACGTGAGGCTGCTTAGAAATCATATCTACACATTTCTGGGCAATTGTTTTATTGCAGATAAGAGGGGAGGGATTGAATGTGGTCCTCAACCAGCCTGTTTGTTTTTCAGGTAACCCTGTCACAGTGGGAATGAGCATCCATATCTCCAGCATTGACCAGATCTCTGAAGTCAACATGGTGAGTTTGGAAAGAAAGAAAGGGGAAGTTGGGGGGAGGTTGAAAAGCCTGGTAGGCTGTTCTTCCATTTTCTGGTTGAAATTTGCTTCCAAGGCAATGGCTCCTTGGAGCCATCTGGATCTCTGCTGGCACCTCTGGAGCTAGTGGCATCTTACCCAGAGCAATTGCTATCCTTCAGTTTGTGTGCTGGTTGCACAGCCACCTCTTCAGTAATGCTTACACCTTAAAAGAGTAGATGTGAATTGTACGTTTTGGTTGACACAAAGGTGGCTTTATGGTCAGCCTGTCCCTGTCAGGTTGAAAAACAGTGGCTTTTTGTGTTTGCTGGTGGTAATTTGGCATTTCCTGGCAGATCTGTGCTGGGAAGAGAGGCATCTAATGGAGATGTGGTGGCATTGATGGACTGGAGCTTTTCATACCACTGAGAACAAAAATATCTGCTTAGATAGAAATGGTTTGGGTTAAATTTGTAGATGCCTTTGGTCTGGTTTGGGTACACATCCAGGATTGTGCTGTCTGTCTCAGAAGCTCTTAGCACCCAGCAGAGGACATGAATTGTACTGTCACTGCCTAAACTTACCTTTCTCCCTCCTGTCCAGAGGCTTTTCCCCCAAACTCCTCTCCTTTCCCAGAGGCTGAGTGGAGTGGAAGGCTGGTGGGAACCTCTTGACAGCAGCTGTCCCATTCCTCAGCTCCTGACCCATGCAGGAGAATCCTGGGCCAGTTTAGAGCTCTTGCTGTTCAAGTCAATTAAAACCTTGGTCTCCCAATGCTCCTGTCCTATTTAGCTGTTTCTGGACTCTCCTGCCCTGCTTCCCTGGCCCACCAACTATTCTGCTGTTGCATGGGGGGGAGGAGGGGAGGTGAGACACTCTGACTGGTTGTTTTTGTTCCCAAACTGCTGGAAAACCCTGAATGCATAAGTTGGTGTGACCCTGGGTGAAGAGCCAACCGTGGACCTTCAGGTTCCTGTATGGAACAGTTTCTTTTCCTGACTCTCTGCTGCCGTGCCCTCGTTACTCTAATTGTCTCCATGACATGTGGCACCTCGGTCCAAGTGGTGGTGACACTGGACAGGGGGTACAGCCCTAGATTTGGGTTGCAGAGCTTTGTCTCCATTGCACTGGGTAGAGCTTGAGGTTAGGCTCAACTTAGAAGAGCCAGATGGCTTAACCTAGTTCTGTCTATCTTGCCTGTCAGGCCAGAACTCAACTTTGAGTCATCTCCTCCCCCAGTCTCAACTTGGACCTGAATGTTCTTATGTGGTGGACCAGCTGTCACCCTCCTTGCTAGAGCCAGAATGAACTCTGTGGGGTCTGGACTTGTAGCTTAAGACCCCACCTTGCATGAACATAACTAGGAGGGGTTTGATTCTCAGCTTACCTGAAGCAACTGCCCCTGCAGGCCTGAGAAGGTCCATCCCCAGCACAGGGAGGACACCAACCTGTTGGAGCAAGTCCAGAGGAGGCCACCAGGGTGATTAGAGGGATAGAACCCCTCTGTTATGGGGAAAAGGCTGAGAGAACTGGGTTTGTTCAACCTGGGAAGAAAAGAACCTTTTTAGGGGTGACTTTCCAATACCTGAAGGGAGCCCACAATAAAGATGGAGAGAGACTATTTACAAGAGCATGTAGTGACAGGGTAAGGGGGAATGGATTCAAACTGAAAGTGAGTAGGTTTGGATTAGATATTAAGAAAAAGTTCCTTGCTGTGAGGGTGGTGAGGCCCTGGCCCACGAAGTTGTGGCTGCTTGATCCTGGGGAGTGTTCAAGACCAGTCTGGATGAAGTTCTAAGCAACCTGATCTGGTAAAAGGTGTCCCTGTCCATGGCAGGGGCTTGGAATGAGATGATCTCTGATGTCCCTTCCATCCCAAACCATTCTGTGAAGGTAGCTGGGCACTGCAGAGGCTGAGGCAGGATGAACCTGCTGCTGGAGGTTTGGCCATGGACTGTAAGGGCTGCTCAAGTGCTCTGCCCTGCAGGTGTTGTGAGCAGTTGTGGCCAGGCATGCTGTGTCCCAGCCCAGCAGCCATTCACCCAGCTGTGCTTTCCACCCTTGCCATGTGAGGGTGATGCTCTCCCCTCTCCACTGACCACCTGCTCCCCTCTGCCACACAACAGCTGGGGCAAGGGGGTGTGGGTGGGACTGGGGAGAAAGAGCTACAAAAAACACCTCTGGGTGATGCACAGAGAGATCTCCTGGCACAGATCTTCATCCCCAGGCTGCTCTGGACCTTGCAGAAATAAAACAGCACAGTGATGGACACTGAGTGATTTGATGGTGGTGGTGTGGCCGTAGCCAGGCTGGGCACCAGGCACTGTCCATGCCATGCTCCTGTGGATGCTGTGAAGGAATGTCACGTCTGGGCTCTTGATTATCCCTCCTGGCTCTCTGTCTGACTAGACAAGAATAATCTCCTGCCCATCCTTCCTACATATATAGGGGCAGGGGGTGGGAGGCAAGGTTGGCTCTGTGTGAGAACTTACTCAGGATCAAAATCTACAAGCACCAGGGTGAGGGAACTTCAGAAAGGGGTTAAAAAATCAAAAACATCTTAAAGAACGAACATTTAGGGAGCAGAAGAGTTCTCATGTGATGTAAGTTTCCAGGCTGAAGGGGTTTTGTGTGCATCATTCTTCTGTGTGACAGATGCCCCGGGGAAAGGGCTGTGTTTTACCCCTGCTCTGGACATGGATACTGGCAAGAAAAACAAGGCATTTTTTTGGCATCGTGTGTGCTTGGGGAAGGGACTGTGCAATGAATAAATTAAAGGCACACAAGTGAAGCTGCGTTGTCACGGCAACCAAATAGCTTCTATTGTTCCACAAGGAGTGTTACTACTTACTGCCCCTTGTAGGATAATTAATTAATCCTCAGACATCCTTTTGGGAACAATGGTGCTGGGACTGGGCAGGCTGAGGAGAGCCCCCGGCTCTCCCAGGCCTTTCTCTGGGACTCCTGGCGCCTGTTGGCTGCGTGGTGGTGGGGAACAAGTGCTGTCAGTGACCACTGACACTGCCTGTTTCCAGAAGTTGCTTCCCACAGGAGTCCAGCTGGCTGTGGTGCTGTGGAGGGACACAGCTCTAACCGTGATGGAAGGAACACTCCTCGCCTTCCCTCCCTTGGGAACCGTGTTCCCAAAATGGTGACGTGGTGGCACTTCAGTCCTGGAGGTTACAGGGCTCTCTGAAAAGGCAATGCAGTTATGTCTTTATGCTGGATGTTCCCAGACACTCTGACACACAGAATGCTTCGTGGCTGCCTGTAAATGCCCCGTGTTTTCTGACACCCAAAACCAGTGCACCTCCACCTCCTCCAGGGCCATGCCCAGATACTGTGCCATGGCACAGCTCAGAAGATGGAGTCATGCCAGGATGCAGTGCTGGATTTGTAACCATCTCCCAGTGATGAAGGACCAAAACTACAGTCCTTAATTAAAAAAAATGTCACCTTCTTGCCCTTTGCAGCTGCTGCCTGTGTGTGGTCAGTCATGTTTTCAGGCTTACTTTCTAGAGTAAATGCTTTATTACTGTGTACTCCTCTTAGCTTGGCTGAGCAACACTGAGCTGCAGCCTCTGTTCTTGTCAGTGATTAGAAGGATTATTTGCTGAGCCAAGATCAGTGACATCAATTGAAATGTCTGGGAAAGGATGCCAGGGGCCAGGCCAAATAGGTATTGGGGAGGGCACATTTGACTGGCAGACCCTCTGGGAAGTGCTGATCCACCAAGATGAAAGGCCTAGCTGGAGTCTTTTTGTATCCAGTACAAATTTGCAAGTTGGGGATTTAAAGACAGGCTGAGAGGAGGAATGTCTTCATACTGCTGCTCAGTAGCTCTGATGACCTGTAAAGAGCAGAAGGGTGGGGTCTCCTAGCTCATTACCCAGCCCATCTCCCTTGAGGTGAGCTGGTAAATGCCATTTTGCTACAGGTGATCTAACTGCAGTGAGCAAGGATCTGCAGGCAGGTATTTATAGATGCTTGTTGGTGTGTAGTGATGCTTGGGCAGGGATACTTTCAAATCTCTTAATATGGTGCCCAGGTTGCTGAGGAGGCTGGCAGTGCTGCTGACCCAGCAGAACAGAGGGCACTGGCAGCGTGGAGCTCACACCACTGCAGCTGGAGCAGCGTGCAGGTGTCTGTCCTTCGGCTGCCTGGCCTGAATGCTGCCCAAAGTCACTACCACCTTCATGGTCTGGCTCAACCAACTTGCTCTGGCCATCCAGTTCTGATGCTGTCCAGTGCCAATGGCTTCAGAAAGAGTCCTCCCCACTCCTGCATGTCCTTTCAGCTGAGGACTGGCCTTTTCAGGGTATGCCGTGTATTTCTGCGTGGTGGGACTAGAGGATAATCCTTCCGACTGTAACCTTTTCTCTCTCTGGGCAATCTTTGGGGACATATTTTTCTACCACCAGGCAGTTCAGACTCCCTTGAAGCATTAATGAACTATTTCAGTGAGGAAAACTACCAGAAGTTTTGTATGCATTTGAAATAAGAGATGGTTACCCTTCATAACGCTTCAATTTTCCTGCCCTATGATCTGTGCAGTCCTAAACCTGCTCCCTCCTGTGTGTCTGCACACCGTAGACAGCTCAGAGCATCCAGCCATTATAGTCATGATTTCTTTGTGCCTCCTATAATTTATTCATCCCAAGATGCTCTCCTACATCTGCAATAACATCATTTCAGTTTGTTATAGCACCGGCTTTAAAGTTTTATAAACCCGGTGACAAGTTGAAAAGTTACAAGAGGATCGTTGTAGAGGGCTAGTGTAAGAAGCAAGGCTTCCAGATAGAGATGTTTGCAGGAATATAGGTGTGAAAGGAGTGATGCCTGTGGCATTGCCAGTCCCTTGTGCTGGGGCACAGCCTGCAGTGGGGATGGCTTGGGGGGGGTGCTGCAGGATGCTCGGCTAAGCTGACCTTGATGCTTTGCCTCACAGAGTCAGGATGGTTTGGGTTGGAAGGGACACCAGGGATCATCTCACTGCAACCCCCC